GGGAGCTCCGCTAAGCTCGCTTCCGCCTTCCTCAGCACGCAGGACTGTGTGGAGCGGGCCCTTCCCGCGGGCTCCACGTGTAACAGATGAACGGGTTTCCCTCTCTAAAAGTGATTTTGAACGTGAGGCCTGGAAAACAGTTTTGCCGTAGGCTGGCGCTCAGCCTTCAGGTTTCGGTCTCCTGCGTGGCCAGGGGAGCCCCTTTGTGGCGGCGGCTGCAAGGAGCGTGCTCAGCCACCACGCAGCTTCCTGGCACGTCCGTCGGTGCAGACCGGCGCTGTTCGGAGCAGTGGCTGTAAGTGGGTAGGAAGGTGACGGGGGACACTTGGAAGTGTTGGCATGGCAGTCTCCAGAGACGTTTTCTTCATGTTTCAGTATTCTCTGGCTTTCGCACACTAGATAGTGAAATTTGGTTTAAAATGACATATTTTGACATTTCATCAGAAAATGCTGGACAACGTGAATGTTTAATGCCGTTAACCATGTTTTGTTGACGTGCGTCTTTTCCTGTTTCTCTTTGACTGTAGATTGTTCCAGGTTGTTGGGAAAATCGACGACACGCTGGCCTTGCTCAACCTGGTGAGTTTCCCTTCGTTTTTGCGGAGACGGTGTGTGGAGTCCCGCCCCCCGGGGGTGGAAGCGCATGCTGGGCTTCTCCAGCGTCCTGTCCCCACCCGGCCCCTCAAGGCTCTTGGCGGGCAGGTGAGATGACCAGCCTGGAGTGACCTGCTGGCCGTCTCTCCTCCATCCAGGCCTGCATGATGACCATCACCTTCCTCCCGTTCACAGTGAGTGCTGCGACCTCCCGGGCCTCACTGAGGGCCCCGGGGCCCCCGCCAGGCGAGGGGGCTCACAGCCCAAGACGGTCCCTCCTCAGGGACGCTGACGGCTGGGTGGGCCTGGGCTGCACAGCTGGGAAGAGAAGGGGTTCCAGGTGGCAGTCGCATCTGCCTGGTGAGGGAGGTTCCCTGGGGTTCCCAAGCTGGGTGGAGAAGGTGTCCGCTCCATGCCCCTACCTGCCCTCAGCCATCCCAGGTTACCGCAGTGTGTGGCCCCCACACCCTTGTCCCCCACTGACTCTGTGCGTCCAGAATTGGGGCCTGGGTTTCCGTGAGCCCAGCCTCAGCTCAAGCATGCCACGGAGTTGCTCTGGAGGGAGGAGGCCCCGGGCCCCCAGCCACCGCCTCCAGCACACTCAGCTGGGGGCGCGGAGGCTGGTGGGCCTGCAGGCTGTGCTCTGTGTTTTCTGGCTGCAGTTTTCCTTAATGGTGACCTTCCCCGAGGTGCCTCTGGGCATCTTCCTGTTCTGCATGTGTGTGATCGCCATCGGGGCCGTGCAGGTAGGACGCCCGCGCTGCCTGCCCCTCCGCGCATGCGTGTCCTGGCGCAGCCCCCGTCTGCACACGGGCATGGCGTGTTGGCTCCGAGAGCTGTGGGGACGGGGCGCGTTGTGGGGCGCCGCA